GTGAGACCCCATACTGTGGATGGACGGATTCCGTTCGCCCCACTCTGAAACCATAGGAAGCCATTGTTTCTTGGTCTTTACGTCAGGGAGTCGAAGCAGAAACCCAGGTTTCCCAACGGTGCGAAACGGTTTTTGTCCACGTTGGACCAAATCCACGCCGATCGGCACCAGTTGGTATGGATGAGCCCCCAAGACTGGTCGATAAATCACCCAGCCAGGAGTTGTTCAGCAGTTCCAGTGCTCCCAAAAGAGGTATGGCGTGTCCTATGGCGTGTCCTTTTGCCCTTCGGTGCAGTTTTTCGGTGCTGGAGCCTGGCGTATGGCGTGTCCGATTTTGGGTTTTGGGTGGAACCCTCTGCTTCGTTCTCGGCCACTTTCGGCTGCTTCGAGTCCGATCCGAAAGGCTGGCTGAGCGGCTCGGATCTTGCGGCTTTGGGTCGCGGTGGCTTTAGATTTACCTTGGTGTGGTGTTTGTTGGTTTTGTTTCTTTGTTTGTTTTTTCATTATTCTTTTTTTCCCCCTTTCCGTTTGTTTGTTTGTTGGTTTGTTTCTTTGTTTGTTTTTTTATTCTTCTTTTTTTCCCCTTTCCGTTTGTTTGTTTGTTTGTTTGTTTGTTTGTTTGTTTGTTTTTGTTGTGTACCGTCCTATCGGCTCATCTTCCTTTGCTCTTCACTTGGCATTCCTTTCATCTTCTCCTTCCATCGCCAGCCGCTTTATCTGTCTGCAGGCTGGCTCACCCTGTTCGTTTGTTGGGCTTGTGTGGGCGCCACACAAGAAGAACGTCAGCTTTTTGCAAGCCCGGAACCCACGGGTGGGCTTGTGCATTGCCTTTAGGATCCGCCAGACTTAACCAATCCTTTTCGCTCGCTTTATTTTTTGGCCGTGGGTCTAAGTCTGGCCAACCGACTTGTCATCTAGAAAATGGCAGTTACCCCACGAACCAACAGCAGGGTACACTTGTCCAAGGGTGTTAAATTGTCCAACCCAGCCTACATAAGCTTACATAAGGATATTGAAACGAGTGTGGTGGAACAAGGGCTGAACAGGTGATTGGCCCAACCCTTCATGGTTTCCTCATGTTTCTTGGGTGGGCAGGGGTTAGTTGAAAATGGGTCGTGTGTCTCTTTTCAGATGCCCCTTTTAGTATTCAAATTTGAAACCAAAGGAAGAGACTTCAACTGTTTCGGGAGTTCCATCCGTTCTTAACAGGGGCGCCGTGGGTCTCATTTTCCGATGCCGCGCGAAAATGCGAACCGCGAAAAGTAACATTCCCCATGGTGAGAACGAGGACCTACCGCTGTGTCCAACCCGGAAAAACCCGGACCAGGAATGTTCAGCGGACATTTAAGCCAAAGACCCACTAAAAGCAAGGATTTCCCCTTTCTTAGATCAAGGTGTGAGCAGGGAAGTTCTGGACGCTGGCCCAGGGTTCACCTCACTGGTCAATGATGCTCCCTTGTCCTTGGGCAACGAATGGCACATGATGGAACCCGCGGCTCATGCGGGAGCTTCTCCAAATGGCCATGGGTCAAAACCAATCACCACACATTTTCGTCTATTTTAGTGGGGATTGGGAAGTTTACTGGCGGGATGTTGACCCATGGCCAACCTACATGTTTAACACCCCCGTCTAGTGTCCGCTCCTCTCCTTCAAAAAAGCTGAAATTAAGATTTGTTTGTGCTGGTTTCAAAGGGACTCTACTAATGTTGGCTTCAGATTTTCATCACCCCGGCTTATTAATCCGGGGTCAACTTTACTGGATGTTTTTCTCTACTTCCCCAGAATTAGCTCCCCTTTTTGCTTTTTTGCTTTTTTGGGGGCCCTTTGTTTTCCACTCACCATGCAAAAAAGCTCTAATTTGTTGCTGGGGTCCGATTTTTCCAGCCTAGACGGATGCCAGGTGGCTTCCTCCCAATTCTTCCTGGTCTATGAGCTGATGCCCCAGAAAGTCCGACGGTGGGAATTTCCACGAGTCGACCTTTTGCAGCATGGGGCTCTCCTTTTTTGGAGTAACCCCCGCTCCCCCCCCGACCGCCCCCGTTTTTGTAGGTTTTACAGGGGAAGCCAAAAGGACCACCGAAATCCATGTTGGGGGGTCCCAAAAAAAGACACCCACCGTGAGAAGACCCGCTTTTTTCCGGACCATGCACGAAAAAATATAGATCAAAAGCCAGGTATTTGGAGTGTGAGTGTCTTGGAATGTCAGCTCCTCTAAACTCTCAGAGTCGGAAAGATGGCTGGGCTTGGCCAAGCGGATTGAAACTTCAGCGAGTTTTCGGGGAGGGGCCTGACCGGTCCCAGGCCAAGTTTTTCCGGGGGAGGGGAAGTTGCCTCCCAGTTTTTGCTCAAGCCTCGTTAGGGCCCCCCCCCCAAAAAAAAAGCACCCAAAAGGAGCCCTACTTGGATTCCCCACAGCCGGGAAACAGAGACATATTTTCTATGTCTGAGGTTGGCTGAATTCAGCCTACCCCAAACAACAGACTATGTTTGGAGACCCAATTTTGCCTCTGATGGGCTTGTGGTTAAACCAGGCCCCTTTGTGGGGTCCCTTGATCGGTTCTCAGTCCATGGAGTTGCCAGTTTACCCGTAGCGTGGGGTCCTGGAAGTGGATGTGTGCTTGACTCTGTCTGGGTGAATTATGGCGACCTCACACGACCGAATTCACCCCAAATGGTGGTTGATGTGGGGAATATTCCCCCAATCACCTTATTTCAGGTCGGTGAAGTATTATAATTCACCCAGACTCTGTGGCTCGCACTTTCAAGGTCACAGTTGCAAGTCTCACAGCTTGATGGCTGCAGTTTGTGTTGGCAGTGCCTTGGCGCATGATCATTTTGCGGTTCCATTGGGAGTAAGTATCGCTTGGCTCCGCGAGAACGCACAGCGTTTTCTTTGGGCGGGTCCTTTTTTTAGGGGACCCCCCCCAAAGAAAAATATATCCAAAAAACACAAACACATAAACAAAGATGTAAAATGACATAGAATAGATGAACTTGTGGTTTTCCTTGTAGTTCCCCTTCAAAACCCACACACACACACACGTCCACACACACACAGACACCAAAGAAGGGTTACCCTGAAGCAAAGACCCACGTGCTCACCGTGCTTTCTTGGCTGGCTCCAAAAGGTACATGCCAATCCCCACTAAAATATAAATAGACGAACATGAGTGGTGCACCTACCCCAAATGGTACCATTGGTGTTGACTCACGGCCATGGGGGGAGCCCGTTCAGGTGACACCCTCAAAGCCATCGAAATGGGTATTTTGGGATTGGATTGAAAGGACACCCGCCCCATGTTGGGCCTACTTTGACGCATATGGAAACCCCAGGACCCCCCATGCCGTCCAACCAAAACAAAGCCGAAAGCCTTGACTTCCCACTGAAGGTACGATTTGGGTTTTGACCCATAGCCATGTGGCCGGACATGAGTCTGTCTCTTTCAATCCAACCGAAAGGGGGCTTCCCCCCGAAAGGCAGCCGATTGGACTGGCCAGAAACGGCTCGTGTGACCTGCGACTGCCAGGCTGCTTTTGGATCATACAGAACCCTTCCTCATGCTCAGCGCTTTGGCTGCATTCGATGTCGCGCTCGGACGTCAAGGTCGAAACAAGAGGGCAGGCTCATGATTGGTCCTCGAATCACCAGCCTCAGAATGTGAAGCCGCAACCACTTTGCCCCAAGAAGAGGTTGTTTAGAAGGGGCAACCAAAGGGAACCCCACCAATTCAGGGTTCCCCTGTCAGAAGGCATGTGTTTCAGGGGAGCCTTGCAACCTAGTCCATTGGAGTGGCGTTTCGTGGGTTTGGATACTGATTTGACTCATCCACTCGAAGCAAGCCTAAGCCAGCCCCCCTCTGCCATCAGACCTGCTCCAGGGTTCCCTGTATTTCCCCTTTAGCTTGGTCGAACAATCTCCTTTCGGGGGGGGGGGGGTCTCTCAGGCGAGTGTTTTTTTCTTTTGCGTCATCAACACTTTGCCATTTCTCCAGAACTAACCTGGTACTACAAGAACGTCTACCCAAAACCATGTAAGAATAAATGGCCTGCTGCACCTGTTTGTTTCTTGCTGGGACTGTCCCTTGCTACCCGAGTCGACCAAAACCCCCCTATGGATTTTTTTTGTAAGGACTGAATACGAAAGCATATTCGGTGTTACGGCGCTGTGGTCGCGGAAGACCGCGGAAGGGCGAGCGGAAGTTTCGCGGAAGGTTATGTGTTATCATGGGATGAAGCTTTACTCTTGTACTACACGAGTACTGAAAAGTTGTGCTGCTTGAGCTGGGACAGCTCGTACTCTGCTAGTACTTAAAAGCTGCGATGTTTCAGCTGGGCTGTCAAAGTCAATGTGTGCTTCATGTGATGATTTGTACTGAGATGAAAACGATACCCCGAGCGATACCTGCGCAATTCCGAAACGATACCGCGGAGTGCCTGGGGCCAACTGAGCTACTGGCATCATATTCGGCGGTCCTTCTGATTCCCGCGGCAGAGTTTGTAGAAAAGCGCGAAAAACAAAATTCGCGGTCCGAAATTTGTTTTTCGTTCCGGCATTACATTCGGAGCTCCAAACGATACCCAAAACGATGCCAAAACGAAGCCCATACACTTGCACTGTCGCCTTGCGCCGGGGCTGGCCCACCCGTCGTTGCTCAAAACGATACTCAAAACGATGCCAAAACGAAGCCCCCGCAACTGTGGCTGTCGCCGTGCGCGGGGGGTGGCTAGTCTCTTTACGTAGAGTAGCTTGTCGCTTGTTGCCACGTTCCCCCTTCCTTTTCTTTCTCCGGTGTTCTGCTGCTCCGCTTCCTACGCTTGCTTGTCCTTCTCCTTCCTTTTGCTCGTTCTGCTCTTCGTCCCATCCTCGCTCCATTCCTAGTCTACTTCTTGCTTTCTGCACTAGCTCTTCCTCTTGGCTTGCTTTACTTTTCAGACACGTATCAGAACGTGTGGTTTTACCTCCATCGCGGAAGTTCGCGGAAGTTCGCGGAAGGGCGAGGCGGAAGGCGATTTTTGGAGCAAGGAATATTGGACAACCCTGGCTCAGATGCAGGCGCGGTTCCCTTTGCAAAAACGCCCAAATCAGTTCATATCAGCACACAACTCGAGCTGCAGGTGTGAAGCCCGACTTCAACCCGGAGCGCAAGAATGTCTCGCCCTCGCCGGCTCGCTCGCCGTTTTCGGGTTGCTTCGGGTTGGGAACCTCCTTCGGGTGGTTTGGGGGAAAAGGGCCAGGGAGATCGCTGGGAAATCAAAAGGTCCGGAGATGCGGAGTGCCAGCAACCCCCGAATTCGGGGATACTGTTGACCCAATTTCCTCAGGATCATGCGAGAACGACAACATGCGTGTGTGTGACTATTTCGTCCCTTATGCTACTGATTTGTGTCAGAATTGCGGAAGGGTTTGATTAAATGACGAAGCGCTATGATGACATGACATGATTCTACGAGCTTATTTGAGCGAGCTAACCCATGAAGGCCCTTGCGATGTCTCTGGGTTTCACTCGCCAGCTCTTTTCCGGAATGAGGGGCTGGCCCCTGGCCCCTTTTCGTGTCCTGGAGGATCCAAACAAGATCCGGGATGAGAACCAAGTGAGGGAGACCAAAGGAAAGCCAACCCTAAAGCGCCTTCGGATTCTTTGGGGCAAGTCCCAGCTTGCCAAGGGGAAAACCCCAGGATACGATCTCCTGGGGGCGATCAGTAGCATCCAAAGGGACACCCCCCACAAGCCTTCGGATGAGTCGCTGAAACAGGACAGTCTTCCAGAACCATGTTTCGCGCGGGTAATTCCCCACGAACTAATCCCCCCAAACGGGGATTCGCCTCAAATTGCAACTTTTTTGTCCCTGTTAAACCCTTTTGGGGGGCTCATTCAGGGTTTTCAAATAAATACCCCCGACCTTTCGCATGGGGAAACAACAAATCTCAGGGGGGCTCACTCATTATTTTGAAACACCTCACTGACCTTTCGCATGGGAAACGCAGAATCTCCAGGGGGCGCACTCATTTTTTTCAAACTCAGACCCCCGATCTTTCGCATGGGGAAAAGTACACACCGAAACATCTCCAGGCGTTCGACGGATGGAAGCAGGCGTTGCAGCTCGCGTGCCCGTATCGCGATTTGTCGCGCGTTTGTTCTAACCCAACCCCCCCCAACCCCAATCTTCCCCCCCCCCCCCCGCCCCACAAACCCTCCCCAACCCTCCCCCACCCAACGCACCCACCCCCCAGCAGACCACCTGACCACCCCCCCCCCCCCCAAACAAAAAAACAAACCACCCGACCACCCCCCGCAAACCAACCGACGGGACACATGGATCGCCCCAGACGAGGTGTGGGCGCTGGGCCTCAGCGGGCGCTTGAACCTGCTGGAGCTGCAAGCGAGGGCGCGCGAGGTGGCTAGCCACTACAGGCAAGCGAAGCGACCCGTGGGGTGTGGGGTGTGGGGTGTGCGGGGCGTGGGGTGTGTGGGGGGCCGTGGGGCTGGGGAACCCCCCAAGAATAAGGGAAAAGTCACAAACACGGAAAACACGACCAACAAAAACAAGACCACATAAAGTAAGAAGCCACCCAAACACAGAGCAACCACTCGGTCCCTTAGCTAGGTGCCAACTTGTTCACCAGTTTTTTTTGGTTGGGAGGGTTCTTTCCCTGCTAAAATAGACTGCAGAAAAAAGTTGGTACCCTTATTTGAACCTCTGCACTGGAGGACCTAGCAGGGAAAGAGGGCGAACCCCTCAGCCCCAAGGCAGGAGGGAGGGGGGTGATTTTGTTTGAGTCACCACGTTGTTGTTGGTGCTTTTTAGGGGAAACTGGAGGGTACGGGGGTCTCCTACAAGTCACTATAGTGCTTCATGGCAAGTGCTTCAATTGGGCTTCTTTCAAGTCTATGTGGAATCGAAGGGACTGTTGGGGAGGGGTGTTGGGGTCGGGGGGGGGGGGTTGCGGGTGTTGGGTGGTTTCTGTGGCGTCCTCCAATGATGTTTCTTTTTTTGCATTTTGGGGCAGAACACGTATTTTCTGTGTACCCCGAGTGTGGGAGACATTTTAGGGTGGGTTTGGGGGGAAGAGGTTTCAGGGTAGGTTGGGGGGGTTAGTGTGGGTTTGTGGGTTTCTCAGTTTGCGAATTGGATTTGGGAGACACCAATCACCAACCCACCCCAAATCAACAATCCCAAATGCATTTTCCTCCGTTACCCCAGACCTCCAGTAGTGCCTTCTTTGTTTATTTCTTCCTCCTTTTTTTGGAGAGGTTTCCTTTAAACTCAGCTGCCACATACAGAGTCCTTTTTTTCCCCATGGCCACTGGGATACTGTGGATGGACATAATCCTGCACCAGCTAAGAAACCCTGGTTTCTGATTCCCCTGTGAATACCAACAAACAACGGCTTGAACCATGGTTTCAAAGTGGTGCGAACGGATTTCGTGTTTTTTGTGTGGCTGCTATGGAAGTGCAAAACGACCCTTTCCAAGAGGAAAGTTGTCTTTCTACAAGGCTCTGTGCACAAAGCCCAGGGTAGCTGGGAGGGTACCCCAAACAACTTGCCGGGGGGTAAGCCCGGTTGAGTCCTTCAGGGATTCTGTGCTACAGGTGTTACAGCTTCATCGGCGCCAATTGCCAGCACTTTGCGGCGGACCTGGCGGTGCGCCTGGGCGCTCCCTCGAGGCGCGAGAGTGTTCAGGGGAGGAGGGTTTGGGGGGGGGGGAAGGGTGGGTTTGGTGGGGGTGTACTTGGATGTGTTCTTAGTTTTTTTTTGTGTGGGGGGGGGAGGGAGGGGGTGTGGATGGCTAGCAACCATTTGCCCTCCCTCCACTAGCCCTCACCGACAAGGGGTCCCAAAGTTTAGAAACCACCCACATTGTGAGTTTATCATGTGAAGGTACCCCTTTCAGGTTGGTTTAAAGGAAAGCTAGAAGGAAAACAACTTCTTTGGGGGCCCTATTTTGACACAACATGGCACCTGAAAGTACTTGGTAAGTGGTTCGACACCCCAGATGAGCCAGAATCAAATCCCGACAAAGTGAAGTTTAGTAGTGGACAGTCCATCTCATAACTTGGTGTTCTCCGCCCTTTTGTTCTTTTTTTGTCTAGTTTTGGGTAGACTGGGCTTTGATTGTGATTCACTTGGTAAACGTTTAATATCCTCAGTGAGGATTTTGTCCCTAAGGGGGTTGGAGGGTAACTCCTACAGACCTACAGGTCTTGTCAACCAGGGTTATCAACCACCAACCAAGTGGCTGCTGGTCATCCAAGTAATTGGGGTTGGAGCCAGCCTGTAGTTTTTGCTTTGTGTGGTTTCAGGGGAAAGAAACGGGGCGCAGTTTTTCTTTTAATCTACTGGAGAAGTTTGTGATACTGTGGATGGACTCTGCTGATGCTGCCTGTGGGTTTTTGGTAAGGCCATCTTGGTCGAAAAGCCCATGACTTCTGCGTACCGTTTTTCTTGTTCAAGGGGAGAGGGGTTCTGCGCCACGGTCCTTCATTGGTGTGGCTTTGGGTTGGGGAACCCCCTGAATGAGTAAGTTCCTAACCTCACCAAACCAAATCACCCTTAACCTCCAAACCAACCACTTCCGAACCTCGCCAAACCAAATCACCCCTAGCCTCACCACCAAACCCAACAAGACAAGTGGAGGCTGAACGCACGAAAACGGAATGCTTGGAGGCCCATGTGGGTCGGTAGGGGTTACGAAGTTAGTGCCGTAAGTGGTTGGATCGCCACTTGGGATTTTTTCACCCCTAACAAGGTTAGCCCCACTGAACGGGCCAACTTACGAAGGATTGTTTTTCTCGGGAGGTCACTCCATTTCTCATTCCCTGCCTATCGAACCAGCAGGTAGGGTCCAGCTTACTGGTGGCTCAAAAAACCAAACGGTGACCAACAACTTACGAACCTGGCAACACCCAAGGGTCCAGAGGCAGAATGTTGCTCACATTTTGCTTGTGGCTCAAAAAACCGGTACCAAAATGGAACCATGGTAAGTGGAGACATGGACCAACACCTGCGCAACCCCTCCTGTTTAGTTTTGAGCCACACCCATTTGGCCTGGCAACGCGCAAGGGTCCAGAGGCTGAATGTTGCACTCGGCTGGGCGTTCCTCAAATTTGGGCTCGCCAGGATTTCGCCCGACGACGAGACCGTGGCCCTTGCCGCCACTGACACCGCCCTCCCGGTGGGCGCAGGGCTCCAAGTCGGCTGAGGGGAGGGGTCCGGGGAAGCCAAGCAAGAGGTCCTTTTGAGGCTTGGTTGGAAATACATGGTTGTTGTTGGGAAACATTTTACATTTTTGCTTGTTGTGGTTTAGTGGAAACTCCCACTTAACTGCCACAAATTATTTTTTTGCTCCCCTTCCAACGTCAACCAATAATAGATGGCACTGGTTTAGATGGGCGTTATTCCATTGCCAGGGCCATCTAGTTTTCCCAAAAGGTCACCTATGACCCAAGCTCTCAGTCAACTTGTGCCAGGCTTGGAGAAGAGTAGAACTTTGATTTGTGTTTCTTTGTTGTATTTCGGGTATCCACCATAGGCCCCTTAGCTAGTATTTCACCCCTTGATTTTGATGGGTCAAGCCATTTCAGAGGGAATCCGGACCACTTTGTGGGGAAGCATCCCCTGAAGAATCCACGTGGTAAATGGTCCAGAATTCTCATTTTCCCGAAACCAACAGAGTACGAGTATGAGTCCTTTTTGTCCGAAAAAAAATCTCCCGCAGCTCGGGTCACTGAAGCGGCCAGCTGTTCCAGGGAGCTGGGTCGCATTTGTCCATGGTTTACAAAACATTTGAGCGACGTCATCCCTCGTGTTCGCTAACACTATTCGTGTTAGCGACGTCATCCCTGGGGTTATAATTTGCCCTGAACGAATGGACAAAGGGATGAACCCCAAGACCAGTCCTTATATTTCCCTTAAGGAGGGATCAACCGCTCAGGCTATACCTCCGGCACTGTTCATTGCACATATCCACCTCAAATTGAATTGAGATTGGCTTGTTCTTTCATGTGGGCGTTTCTGGGGACAGGCAGGTCCCCTTTTGGTTTTCCTTCAAACACCATCCCAAAGAAGGGGGGTCCGTCCTCCCCTATTTTGAGAAACCCATGTCGACCTTGGATGGGGTTGTTCAGTTCTTCCTAGCCCTACGGCATGCTCTTGTCACCACACTCCGGACATGTGGGACACGGAGCCCTGACCTTGTTGGGCTCCCCCCCCCAAAAACGGAAACCGCACGTTGGCGCGCTGGGAGTCGCAACTCTTTGGGCGTCTTCGACCTTGCCATTCCAACTCATTTCGAACCAGCAAGATGACTGCGCCATGCAAGGCACACCCATTTTGTAGCACTCCGAGACGGGTCTCTTGCTCGCTCCTTTTTGGGGCTTTTATCAATCTCAGGTCCTTGAAAGCATCAGCCTGGGCAACGCTGGAAGGGTTCAAGTGCTTCATCTGCTGTTGGTCTCCATATCGGAAAACAGGACCCATCTCCCCACGAACCCGGATCAACCACTCCAAACCACCCTTCACCGTCCTTTCCGGAGCCGATTTCCCGGGTCCCAGTTGATTTTGATCAGGGCTGTCGATGCCCTGGATCGATCACTTTTGCGGGTGAGAGTTGACCCACCCGCCCAACGAGTGATCCAGTCAGTGCACATTTTCAGCAGAAAACCCGTGAAAGGCAGCTCGTAAAAGGTGGTTAAGTTGGCAAACATGTACCCTTTCGGGAGCCCTGTGCAAAAAGCTTTGGTATCAACCCCTAGTTGCTACGTAGATGAATTGACCATTTGCCTTGCTGGGTGGGAAACCAGCCAGGTTTGGGACCATTAATGTTGACTTCAGAGTAGTGCCCCTGACAAGTGGGGCCCTTTTGATGCGAACCTGATTGGGCCCACACAGGGTTCACACGCCCACACCTGTTTAATTGACTAACCTGGAAGGCCAGTTGGTTCATACCAGACCTTCCATTCGATTTATTTGTTTGCCCGGCTTGTTCACACGGCGTCGAGCGCGTCTTTGCCACGAGGTGGTGGGCGCTTGTGTGGCGGCGGCGGCTCAGGGCATCTCCGGAGCTCCACTGGCCTGGGGACCGGCACCTTGTCTCATTGGGGTTTCTGGGCTGGTTTAAGATAAATTCGGATGGTCTCTCTAATTGGTATATTGTGATCAGCTCAAAGGCGCTGGAGTACAATGTCCACGTAGATGTGCGGATACACCTACCAACCGGAGCGGCTTTTCGCATTTGCACGGAACATGCGAGCGGGCGACTAGACATGTGCATATTTGTTGTGCACTTGCGCGTGTCACTCGTAGACTCACTTGCCCAAAGCCGACCTTTTGACCTTTTGGTTTTCCCAATTTGGTTTATTTTTAGTAGAGGTCCCAAAAGGTTGACCTTTTATTTCCAGTTCTTTTGGGCAAGTGAGTAGATCTACTAGTTCACCCACACAACTTGCTCACTTGCGAGTTTAACCCACGTTCGGTGGGTCCCCAAGCTTGCTGGTGCGCAGGGAATGAGGGAATGCACCCAGAATTCCCTTTCCCTGCCTATCGCATCAGCAAGTTCCCACCTTGTATTCTGGGTCCCGGGCCAACATTTGTCAATATTTAGTTCATCCCAACAGGTTCACCTTTTCTGTCCATTTCTGGGCCCCCTTCTTCACTGCTCTTGGGTTGGATCTTTAGACTTCAACTTGTTGCTTGAAATCAAGTTGGGTTTTCCACTCAAGCCACAAGAAGTGATCAACCTTTTTGCAGAGGGCTCAACAGCAACCGAGCCTTGGGGGCTCCGAAAAATCCGCCGCCGCACCGAGGCCCTGAACACCGTGGCCGTCTCCGCCTCCGCCGTCGGCCTGGTGGGCTGCGCCGCCCTCATCGGGGCCGCTGGGCCGAAGTCCAGCGAGTTCGAGCGGTTGCCGGACCGAGGGGTGGCGGATGTTCAACGAAATGTTTGGGGGCGTTTTTGTTTTTTGGGTGGGGGGGGCCAGCAAAATGGTGGTTTGGCTATGTTTGGCTTAGTTTTCTTGAACATGCTGGAACATGGTGGGTTTGGGGGTGTCGTGTTGTTCTTTTCTTTTTTGGAACACGCCACTTGAAATGGCATTTATAAAATGGTGGTTTTCGTTGTGGTGTTCTTTTCTCCTTTTTTTTTCCGGGGACGTTGTGCATTTTTTTTTTGGAGAATGCCGCAACGTGATGGGTTTTCCTTTTGGCTTCTTTTTGGACACCACCCCAAAATGGGTAGCGTTTTCCCTTTTGACGCACGAAAAGGAAAAGACACCTTTAAAAGGACACACCCATTGTGGGGCGCGTTTCCGTTTGGTGGGGTTCTTTGAATGGAGACATCTATTTGTTACTCTGAACCTCTCACCAACAGAGTGTCTAGCCAGGATCTTGCGTAGCTGCTCAGCTTTTGCGTTTAGCACCCACTATGGCCATGGTTCAAAACCAATGGTACCATTTTGGTGTAGGTGCACCACCCATCTTAGCCTATTTTAGTGGTTGGATTGGGATGTTCACTGGGGGTACGATTTGGATTTTGACCCATGGCCTCATGGGTCTGCCTGCCGCGAATGTCATTAGGAGGGCCTTCGCACCATCTGCTCACGTGATCTCAATCGCTCTGAGCGGCTGCAAACGATAAGCACTGCACACATGCCGGCCAAATGGGGAGCGCACACCCGCTCGCACACACACATACCCGTTTTAAATACCCCTTCACCAAATGAACCCAAAAGGCCGGGTGGAAACCAGGGAAGCAAAGGAACCGGTATGAACAAGGGGTATTTTTTCACACACACACACACAGCATCCATGGCTGCCAAGCAATAAGCACACCGTGAGCCCGCCCAGCACCGTGAGCCCGCCCGCCCAGCACACGCCTGTGGAACCCAAAGTCAATGGGGTTTGGGCACTGCTCATTTGGCAAGTGTTCAACAACCCGCAGTTGCTATTCGTCCCTCAAGTGGGTTGTAGTGTAATTCCCTTGGCTTTGGAGGCTTCATGCATCGGAGGTTTCATGCGATCGCGCGAGCCATGCGCAGTGCATCACCATTCATGACGGCGTGACAGGAGCCGTGCGCAGTAACGCCGTTTCCGACCTTAGTTGTCCAGGTTCGGGCAACACATGAAAGGATTCTTCATGCGCACACAGGTCGCCAGCAGCGGGTGGAGCGGATGCCTGCCATATCCAGCAGTTGTGCGTGTCATCAAGTTGTTGCGCAAAAAACATGCAAGTGCACTGCGCATTGCGTCAGGATACTCATCAGCATCACAGGGCAGTGGACAAACCCTGGCAAGGATTCAAGCTGATGCTCAGGCGAGGCCAATCCAAACACCAAGGCGATACAGATTCTGGTGCAAAATGGCAGCTGGTTTTGCAGCCCTGCAATCAAGGCACCGAGAAAATCAAGGCTTCTCACAGCCAGGACACTGCAACCAGTCCACATACACAAGGTACCAAATGCCAGGGGCATATGGCTGTGGCTCAAAAAACCGGTGCCAAAATGGCTTGCCCTGGCAAGTGGAAACATGGACCAAAACCTGCGTAACCCCTTCTGTTTAATTTTGAGCCACACCCATATGGCTCATGCTGCGTTAGAATTGGAGGGATGCGCCACCACTGGGCAGGGGACCGCACACTCGCAAGGAGCATCAAGGCCCAAAGACTGATTTGCAGCGCGGATCTGGTGGATGTGCCTCAACGGTTTTTTGCCAATGGGCGATGGGCGTGGCTCAGAATTGAACAGCTAGGGTTACGCAGGTTTTAGTCCTTGGTTCCATCAGTTCCATCTACCAAGGTGCCATTTTAGGTACATGCTTTTGAGCCACTGCCAAATGTGTTGCATAAGTCTGGACTTAGTATTGCCAGACTCAGCTCACCTCTTTTTCTTCTCTTCTTCTTTTTTTTCTTCATTTTTTTTTTCGCCCTTCCTCAACGGGACCCTTTGTCATTTCGACGTTTTCTAGCTGAAGCCATGTTCCCCCCACCGTTGTTTTGCCGTTTTTTCCCTGGCAAAGCTCCGAGCTTCTCGCAGTCATCGGTTTCCGCGCGGGCGGTAAAAACGTCGGAGACAGGTTGCGGGCATTTACAAGCTCCTCCGCGATCAGCGTCTTGGGCCGCAGAAGGGATTTTGGGTGTCCAATTTGGGTGTCCCAAAAGGTGAAAAGGGTTTCCATGGACCCTTCAAGCGAACCGGCAACCCGTCTTTTTTCTTCTTTGTTTCTTCGAAATAGGTTGCGCAAGGACGGATTTGGTGGTCCGTTCTCTTTGGGTCCAGTGACTTCTTAGAGCAAGGCAACTGGAGGCGTCCTGGCGCGATTCGGGGCGCTTGGTGAATGGCTGGGGTCCATGGAGTTTCGGTCGGTTGGGTCAGAAGCAGACAATGGTTGGTGCTGTTCCTACATGTTACGTACAAGATTGCTGGTGTCCTTTCAGCAATGCCCCAGAGAGTCAGAACTTTCCCTTTGCCGAAGGGGTGGTTTCGATCATGAAGTAATGGGATCAGATTTTAGTTACCGGTCACTAGTCACTAGCAGGTTGGCGATTCCCGCCCTTGTTTGGCTTTGAGTCAGTTGAAAAGGATTGTGGATTTGGATTGGCCAATCAATTTTGAACAGCCCAGTAGTGAAGGGAGTGGGGCGGACCCACCAAATAAGGACGAATCGCCAAACCCAACTATTCAGGTCCCTTTTGAATTTTGCAGTCATGGGGCAGAAGCGAAAATGCCGCCCGCTATTCACCAAACTCCATTGTCAGACCTCTGCTGAAGCTCCGCTGAATTTAGGAGTAGCAAAACACTTGGCGGACGGGTTGTCCTTCGCCCTGTTTAAAAAAAAAAAAAAAAACAAAACAAAAACACAAAAAAATACCAAAAAAACACAAAACAAAAACATATGAACGGCCCCACAGCGGGGCCGCAGGACTTCCTGGGCAAAGGGATCGACCGCCTCGACCCAACGCAAAGGGATTGCTTCCGCGCAAGCGACCGCTTCCCCATGAAGGCTTCTTTTGTGGCGGCTCCCTCTTTTTGGGCCGGTGATAATTCACCCCAAGTACTACCCTACCCTTCCTTGGTTCAACCTGGCTTCGGGTTGAGCTCGTGGGTCAGGCAGTCTTCTGCACAGGACAAGGAAACCAGCCTGTTGATTCCATTTGAATCTGGATAATTGATGCGTAGGGCGCCCCCCTTTGTCAGAGTCCACCGGGTTTCGTCCACAACTGCAGGAGCTTGTCTGTCCTTATGTGACCTGAACATCTGACCATACGTTCCTCGTTGGCATCCGCATTTTGGTGTCTGGGGGGAACCTGTATGCGCAACCCCTCATGTTTGGGCGCCAAGGAAGCCCCCCAGCCTTATGCTGGCTTTGGAGTCTAATTTTGACCTCCAAAATTTGGAGTTCTATCTGATTGCTTTCCCATTTGGGTCTCTTCTTTTTTTGGAGTGCTTTTTGTTAAGGGAAAAGGTACTTCCCAAGCCATTGTGGGAGTCCGAGTCCAAGAAGAAGACACACCCATTGTTTTGGGGGCCATTTTACAGCTTGAGAGTGGCCCTGCACCAGAAAGGATGGCTGGGTCGGGATTTGAAGGGGTCCAGTTTGGTTCTGGGCGTCCAGTGGGATCTCTCAAATTGTCCAAAGGGGCAGGGGTCGTTTTCGCGTTTGGCTTGGCTTGGCGAAATATTCTTCCGGCAAGTCCAAGGTTCTTCTTGGCAAGGAGCGCCCTCTCTTATACCATCAGAAACTGACCAACCATCCAAAAACCGACCCTTAGACCCTTAGTGCGGGCCTTTGGAAAAAAATGACTACACACTTGGTTCTCGCATTTCTGAGCATGACTTAGTTTCCTATTTCAAGTACCACAGACCCCCGTTCCAAGCCGAAGTCTGGTAGCCCTCGACTGGCATAACGGCATAAGCTTCTGAACACCTCTACCACCACACCACACCACCACACCAAATCGCCAAGTGCAGGGAAGCTGACCCTCACTAATCCAATCCACCACCACACATCACCACACTATATACACTTTTTCAAGGGAGCTCCATTTTTGCGCAGCTCTCAGGAGCCGGCAGTCTGCTCCGGCGGCGATGCTGGCAGGCGATTTCCGATTTCCAGCTCTTTGAGCTCCGGGGGATCGGAGGGAGCATTGGGATGTGGGTGGCTCAAAGTAAACCCAGAAGCACAACCAGCATTTCCAGAATCCTAGTGTGGATGGTTGCGAAATCCATTTCTCACCACCTAAGAAACCCTGGAAGGATTCGATTCCCCTGTAAATACCAACAAACAATGGTTTCCCATGGCTTCTTGGGTGGTGCAGGATTTCGTCCATCCACAGTGCGTCAGGGGCGTTTTGGTTTTTTGCTTTTTTCTCATTTGAGATTCCCAACCAAACACCGGGATTACGCGAATGTGAGATTCAACGGTCTGGCGATTGCAAAAGAACCACCGGAGCCCGGGCGAAGCTGACCTTTGGGGCTCTCGGGTTTGGTCAGTTTTGGGGACCACTCGGACAGGGGCCCTGGAAATTTCCCCGACTCGGGTTGGCGGAAATCTCACCAAGACAAACCGACTTTTGTAGAGCTTCCTTGTCAAATTTGAAGGGGCTACAGGATACATACTTGGATGACCTGCCCTGGAAGTAAGTGGTTGTTGTAGTGGAACACCTCCTGGGGCTGATTCGCGAACATTAACGCCGCTTTTTCCAACTGGTGGCCGGCCCTCCTTCAAATTGAGCCAGGGGGTCATTGTAAGATGCCTGGGTTCCTGCGTGGCCCATGGCCAGCGCCCAACCTGCCCTCTTCAGCTCTCCCCTGGCCACCCAATTTGGCTGAATTGGGATCTGACCAAATGGATCCTCCCGCGTATGCGGGCATTTCGGCGACCTAGGGGACCTGATCACAAGGGTTGTCAAGCACTCACCAAATGGCCTCCAAGTTGGGGGAGGGAGAGCCCTGGCTAGATCGGGGGGGTTTTCCGAGAACCCGAAACAAGTTCTTCCCCCCGGCCAATTTCCCCCCTCCCCCTGCCCATTTTTGGAAGGACCATGTCCGTCTGGATGGGTTTGTTGTTGGCTCTGGTGACACGCCAGGCGCGCACATGCTGGCGCGGTCCGCTTCCAGCCGGCTGCTTTCGCTGTCCAACAGCCGGCCGGTGATGTCGAAGTCTATGCCATGCTTGCCCGGGCCCCGGCAGATCCAGCCCTCCTCACTGCTCTCAAGTGAGACGGGCAGCAGCCATAGCCTCCCGACTTCAAACTGTTTGGGCTTGGTTGCCATTTTAGCCAAAGGTTTGTGCACAAAAGTTGGCTTGGACCATTTTAGACCACTTCTTCGGGACCTTTTAGCGTACAACAAGTTTGGCCAGTTTTTCTTGGCCTCCTTGCACTCAGGAATTGAGTAGGAGCCATTGGCGCATTGCAGCCTAGTGAGTACTCGCGTCCCAGGACCATGAAGGCCCATGAGATTCCTCTTGGCATGTACTTGGCCTTTCGCTCATTCCGAACTGCCTTAGGCGGAATTTCGAGGATGTAACAGACTCTGAGACCGAAGACGAGGAGGATGTTGATGATAGGCCGGGGTGCGGTTGGCGCCGATTTTCCCCAGCTAGCTGAAAGCTATGGGGTTCTAACTTCTAATAAAGAGGGGACAGTGATTTGCGAGATTGAAGGCAGGGCGCTGGTGCAGTTGTTTTTTTCAGTTTTTTTTGTTCCCGCGTGGCCGGGCGTGGTGGTGGGAAATATGGGAGGTGTCGCCACTTTCTGCCAGAACCCAAGGACCGAGAATTTCCCAAATGGGATCACAGCAGGACGAGGAGTTTGCGCCACGGTTTTGCCACGGCGCGGTTTTGCCAACCCCGGGTCGTGGGGTCCTTTTTCTACGTACAAGTTGCCCTCTGCCGCCCAGGGGGCAGCTGCCTCTCGCCATGGGGCATGTCTGGGGTGTCCCAGATTTCGGAAGCGATCCGTTTCTTCTCATTTTCAGGGACGCCATTGGTTTGGCTGGTGTAGTAGGTTCAGTAGGTGGTCCGAAAAGTCCCCCCAAAAGGATAACACCATTGGTTTCCCCTTTTTGGTCCATGTTCAGGGAGTTCCAAACGCGGAACCCCGAGTTTCTGGGTCCTTTGGCAGGTGGGCGGGCGCCAAAGACCAAGACTGGTTGGCTTCCACCTTCGTCCGCATCGCTTCCAGCTGAATCTGGCCGAGCTTTCCGACCGAAACCTCCTGAGCTTGGGGTCGGGGACTCATGTGGCTGAGGTTGTCAAAACCGTTTTGGGATCCCATTTTGGTTGGTAGGTGAATTCACCACCCATTTTAGAACCGGTTTTAGTGGTTGGATTGGGTCCCGTTCACTGGGTACGATTTGGAATTTGACCCATGGGAAATGAAACAGCTCGGGCAAGCCGCAGGTTTTGGTCCTTGTTTCCATTCACCAAGGGGCCATATTGGGTCCATGTTTTTGAGCCACAGCCATGTGACCCTTTGGAGTAAGAGACATTCTGACAACGAGCCATATGCGAGGTTTCGGTGCTATCTCAGTACCGCCTGTAAAGACTCCATGCATGCAGGGATGCTCCTCGATGAACACCAGCTCCGTTTGCATGCCTTGCAAAAGGCCTTCTTGTGGGCCTTCAATGCCTCAAAAGGTCACATTGGCCCATCTTCATTCATGGTTGTCTTCGGATTCATGGACGTGACCATTTTGGGTGGGTTCTCAAAATGGCTTCTTGTAAGGGTGCACTGTCTTTCACCAGCTCAAGGACAACTTCCAGACCGTTGCACATGGCAGGCCACCTACCATATGGAACGGGTTCTGGCTCTGACAGCATGCCAAGCCCACCAAAGACTTCCAGCCAAGCTTTCCGTTTTAGACCCAGATTCAGCAAAACAACCAGGGACCACGGCCCCTTTGAATGTTGCCAGACCAAAGGCTTACCCACATCTTGCAGTGTCCTCCTTTCTCTGTCATTGTCCCGTGCCCCACGTTTTTCGGCTGGGGCTCGGATTTGTTGGGACCTGCATCGCCCTCGTGATCTTTCCTAATCGGTGAAGAGGCGGGCGAGGCGAGCCTTCCGAGACATGTCCCTTTTCTTGCTGGTTCTCAGCAGGGAATGAGTTGGAATGACCCCGGAAAAAAAAAACAAAAACGGGGAAAACAACAACGCTTCGATGGGCTCTCACCGCGCGGTTTTTCGGTCCAGAGTTTTCTGTCTGTTCAATGCGTCTTGGGGTTTTGACGCCCACAGACGCTGCTTGTTTTCATCGATGTTCAAATATGCCCTTGGGGCAATGATGATAATGTGTGCGTGAACGTGGATGCTGATCAAGTGGCAGGCATGCACGCAATGATGATAATGTGTGCGTGAACGCGGATGCTGATCATGTGGCAGGCATGCACGCAACGATGATAATGTGTGCGTGAACGTGGGCGCTGATCATGTGGCAGGCATGCACGCAATGATGATAATGCGTGCGTGAACGTGGATGCTGATCATGTGGCAGACATGCACGCAACGATGATAATGTGTGCGTGAACGTGGATGCTGATCATGTGGCAGGCATGCACGCAACGATGATAATGTGCGCGTGAACGTGGATGCTGATCATGTGGCAGGCATGTACGCAATGATGATAATGTGTGCAATGATGATAATGCGCGCATGCACGCAACGATGATAATGTGTGCAATGATGATAATGTGTGCGTGAACGTGGATGCTGATCATGTGGCAGGCACGCACGCAATGATGATAATGTGTGCAATGATGATAATGTGTGCATGCACGCAATGATGATAATGCGTGCGTCAATGTGGGTGCTTATCATGTGGCAGGCGTGCGCTCAGTCATGAAAGTGTGCCCGTGAACGCAACATACGCCCACTGCTCCAAACCCGCGCGCAGGTCGTCAAAAATGGCCCTGAAACCCTTGTTTACAGTGGGAAACGAAACGCGAAAAGCGCGCGGAAACACCCCATCGGAGGGAACAACAAACAACATCTTCTATGGCTTCCTTTCTTCGGAAAATTCCCCCAACACCGCTTCCTTCCCGAAGCTCGAAGCTTCGGGGCCGTTCTCTGAGCACCGGCAAGTCTTGTGGGCCTCCAAGAGCGGCGATCGTTTCAATGGAACCCACCAGCAAATTGATCAACTTGGGAGGGAAAATGTAGCGACCCCTGCGGGACATTTGGGGTTTTATGTGGATCCACTTAATCCTTCTTGATGAGCATTCGCCATGCCGGGACTGGGGAAAAAGATCGTACAGAGTACCCCCTTGGAAAGTAGGAACCATGGGATTTGGGCTGTGTCTACGTGGAATCCCTAAAACGGTAGTTTCCTTAGAATTTCCCTTTCATACTGGCTGAAAAAAGCGTACCCTCAAGACAAGACACAGTGGAAAGATGGCCGAGTTTTTGCATTGTCATAAAGCGCCTGGCAGTGCTTAATGTTGACCCCGGGCACGATCAACAAACTTCCAAGCTATGTGTGCCCGGTTCAGGGCTTCAGCGCCGGCAACTGGGCAACTGGGAAACCCCATGCGCAGGGATTTCGTGGGCAGGAGCGGCGTTTCTCGGGAGCAGACCCGAAAACAAAACTTTTTTCGAGACACGCATGCACTCTTGGCCCGGGGTTTGCCTTTAGGGTAGAGCCCATGGGTGTTGCCAACTGTCCCTGGCTGTTGTTTGGTGGGACGGACTGCACATGAGCAGAACTTGCTGAACTACCTCAAGCGTAGCACCTGTGGGAGGGTACCTGGAAGAAAACATTTCCTCTTGGGATTCCGGTCAGATGCCATGTTTGCTGGAGGGAGGGATTTTTTTGTTTTACTCGCAACACCCGCGGATCGCAGTTGAGGGAACCTCCCTGGCACCAGCCAGTTCTCGCAAGAATTCGCGACCGTTTCTCACCCTTGCGACTGGGGAAGTATGCTGTTTGTGATATGGGGCGATGTCACTCACGTCCCAAGTTTCCGGACTTCAAACTGTTTGCGAGGACTTTTTTTTGCAATAAGCAACAACAAGGTGGGGATTTGTTTTGCGGTTTGTGCAATGAGCAACAAAAAGGTGGGGCTTGTTTTGGTCCGATCCACTCACAGAAGTGAGCTGCTTTGCTTTGCCTCCAACAACAAAGCCCCTTGGGTGAGCAGCCTCGCGGCGGCTTTTGGGCGGCAAAAACGCTGAGATCGAGGACGATTTCTCAGGGCGATTCTTTGCTGCGCCACCTTTTTCTAGGGCCAAGGGCCCGCATTGCCCGAGGGGTCCGAGGGGTGGGTTTTCCACCACCCCCAAGAGGCCCAGATGAGTTGGGGTGGGCCCCGTTTGATGGGCAAGCCACCCGTACCCTACGAGGGCGGACGAAGACGCTTCCCCTCTCGACACGTAGAAATTGTGCAGATTCCACAGAGTTCCCACGCTGTGGCTGGACGAAATCCATTTCGCACCAGTTTGCTGGGTGGTTTATCCCAGTAGGGTTTCATGCCGCGGTCACTGGGGAAACTTCCGCCGCACTGTTGCGACCCTGCGACGTCGGGGTTTGCGAAAGGCCCCCCCCATCCGAGGGATTTTTGCCGAACGAGCCCTTCACCTTGCTCTCTGTGGAAGTGAAAAGACCCACAAAAGAACAGTCCCAGCCACAATTGCGTGCCGCTATCCGCTCTTCCAATTCTTTACATGGATTTAGGTAGACCTCTGCAGTAATTACCAGGTTTTGATTGTTGCTCAAGCCATGCGTCGGGACCAAGATCGGTGGATGTTGTCAATTCCAGTGTGATTTCAGTCAAGCAATTGTGATTGTGTCTTTGGAAGGAATGAAAATGGACCACATCCACCGATCTTAATCCCAACGAGCCTTTCAATCGGTCAGCAAACAACGCCGTTCCGTAGAGTCACCATGATTGCACAACTCAGGAACAAGAGCGGTACCATATCCCCCCCTCCCCAAACCCCCCTCTTGTTGCGCAAATAGGGATCAAAGGATACTCATATATTCCCAAGCAGTCAGAATGACAAGGTGCGGAGACTGCCGTCTCTTTTATGGCTGCGCAGCTATTCTCTGTGAGAATGTGGGTTCAGCCACTGCGGACTGCACAAGCAAAGGTATCAAGCCGTGACATTCACATGCAGTACAAAGTATCATACAAGGGATTCCTACATTGCTGTAAGGGTCAATCATGTACAATTCAAGTAACCCCCCCCCGCACTGATCTTGTCCCGACGCATAGCTCACTGAACATCCTTTGCCGCCGAAGTGTGGCTTCGTTAAAAAAAAAAAACAACAACAACAACACACACACACACACATCCGCGAGGGGCTCGCTGGAGGTCGGGAGGCCCTTCTGGCTGCGGCTCGTCCATTTGGAGCGCCAGACAAGATGGCGATGGAGCCGTTGGCAGGCCAGGCGCGCTTTGCGCTTTGCTCGCGCGCTTTTTGTGGTGCGCTTTCTGCGGCGAGTTGGCTTGCTGGCTGTGCATGGAAACAGCTACGTGAGGTTGACCGCCCGCAGATGCGCCACGG